CCTCCCATTCTAGTTTTAAATACCCTAGGAACGACATGTAAACCAGCAGCCACAGAGTGAAGTGCTCTATTGGCGTGGGGTGGTATTTACTTTAAGATGTGGCCTGATCATCTCCGTTTAGATCAAGACCTTATATGTCCAATGTGTCACTTCTTGCACATTGTATACGTGTCAAGCGGAGAGAGGAGGTGGCAGTTTGATGACACCAAAAAACAATGGAGAAATAGAGCAAACAGTGTTCCAGTTTTTCTGGTTCTGGTCTTGTTTAAAGAAGATGAAGACACACACACGCACGCACATGTTACAGGTTTTATTGGTAGGGAAAATTCCGAAGTAGAAAAGTTAGTGCACCACTCTTTATTTAATGTCACTGCTTTTATAATTTATCAGAAAAGTAGACCATCTGTGATATGGAACTTTCAGCTGTCCACCCTTCAACCACATTTCCTGTCTGCTATGTCAATGATTCGGTTTTCTGAAAGAAGACACAGTAGGTCACAGATACTCACCCTGCATGAGAAAAGTGCTGAGAAGTTGGTCTGTGGCCACAGGTTTGATCTCAGTTCGCAGATTGACGTATCGACCAACCACCAAAGGTGCTCTCCTGAAACCAAGGATCCTGTATAGAGGACGAAGATTACAAAACAGGACTGAAGATTATGACACTCTCGACAGACCACAGAATGTTAAAAAAAAATAAATGACAAAGAACTCAAATAACCATGATTACAAACCTGTCCAGGTGAAAAGCAGCTACCTCCGCATTGTGTCTGTCATAGCCTGCGTATGGCTCTCCTTCGACCACATAGTCTCTGTTGTACCTGAGCGAGGGTGGACATAAAAATAAAATAAATAATAAAACAAAAGTAAGAAGAATAAATCAATCTGTGAGAGTTTTTTTTTAATTAAGCCTGACCTCTTGGGTTTGAAGACCACTTTCTGTCCTCCGTCTAGCACCAGCAAGGCTTTGAGCTGTGTGCCCTTATAGCCCACATCTGCCCGCTCTATCCTGGCAGAGCTCAGGGAAGTAAGCACAGCAGCCAGCTCTGGAGTCTCTTCAGGGTACACCTCTCTGGGGCCCACCCACTGGCTTGCTATCTCCCATGGAGACTGGAGGGTGTTGGTAAGGCGAGCGCCCCGAGACAGTGAAAGACCAGCTTCCATCTTTGAGGGATGAGTAATAATAACAACACATTGCATGAGACAACATAAGATAAGATTTTAAATAATGAAACTTAGTTTATTAATACTTAAACTTAAACAAGACCAGCATATTTTAAATGCTTTATAACATTGTTGGCTATGACTGTGCACCCAGTTAGTGATCCCAATGAAAGCACATTTTTTAATGTAAAAGTCAAAAGTTTCCATCCACTCATCATGGGCATGAGTGACACAGTTATTTAAGTCTTTTAATGATTTCTTTGAGCTGTTCTTTTTCCAGAATTATTTATTTTGGAATTTCTCTAATCCAAATAGGATTAAAAGTAACAGACATATATATACTCAAATATATACATACATACACCTTGGCTAATATTTTGTTAAATGTCCCTTAGAAACTTGCACATCAACCAGAGGCTTTTAGTAACCATCAAAAAGTTTTAAGCTAACTCTTCTTGGTCGAGTTTTCATTTTATCAGGTTGGACCCGTCCACAAATTTGCAACAGGGATGAAGTAGGGATTTTGTGAAGGCGATTCTAGAAGTGTGTTCCAGAAGTTTCCAGTTCATGGCAGGCTTCCTGAGTTGTTGTTGAACATCCTAACCGATTTCCTTTCGTGCGAAGGTGACAGTTCGGGTCTTCTTTCAGATGATGGCAAAGTCGTAATACACCTGAATAACCTCTAGTTGCACATCCACCTGCAGTTGATGATCATGGAATCTCCAGAAGACCTTCCCAACTTCACAAATCCTCAATTCTTCTTCTGAGTTCGTCAGACTTTTCCAGTGTTCTGACTATTAGTCAATTCAATGAGTGCTGTCAAAAAAATCCTTTTTATGATGGCAAAGAGAAACTACCAGTCTATAGGCCTTGGCGTTGTCAAGTTAAAAGACACCGTAGAACCAGCTAATTATTTAAGTGAATGTATATACACATTTCAGCCTGTATGTATGCTTTTGACTTGTGTGTGGATTTGAGCATCCAGTTCCTTTTTAAAGTCATTAAAGACTTGCTAAACAATCACTCCATCCTGTAAAAACAACCGCTCCAAGAAAGTAGTAATATTAAAAAAATGTAAATTACCATAGCATTCATGTCTATGGTGAGTGGAAACTTCTGATCGCAACTTTAACATGAAACAGCCCACTTGCATCCTGACCTTGCGAAACGCTCTGAGGTCCCGCCGGCTGGCTGCAGTTCCTTCACCTCCATCCAGCAGGAAGATCTTGGCCAGGCCCAGCAGGAGGAGCACGGCACACAGCACCACCATGCGCTGTTTGAGCTTCATTTCCACACTGACTGGCCCTGACCTCCTCCTTGCCTGTAGTTGTGCGTCTCCCCCACAGCGAACACCCCTCACCCTTGATGCATGGCCCCTGCAGCTCACCGTCACCTTCCTGCCTGCCTGCACTGTAAGACCAACTCGTCTGAAGGACGGGAGCTTTTCTGCCTTTTCCCTGGAGCTGCAGTCTAAGCAAACAGGCAGTCACCAGCAGGGAGACAGCAGGAGAACTGGGAGAGGGAGAGATGAAAGATGTACTGTCAATAATATGTGAAGTGAAAACTGATTGATTCGCTGCCTCTCTGGCTCGGTTCCCCCCCAGGGCAGAGGATGACCCAGTACTGCAGCACAGTTGAAACCTGTCCAGAATGTGCAACTACATCACGATGGCAGAGTCTGGTCTGTGGAAATGTGTGCGTACGTTCAAAAGTAAGCTTTGTGCCAGCAGCAAAGCTCACTTACTGTAGCTGCTGCTGCCAGCTGGGCTTTATTAAAGGTGAGGGACCAACGTTTACAACAAGGTGGTTCACATCCCTTCCTCTCCTGCACGAGGATGAGGGGATAGGGTGGCGGCGGGGTGTTGTTGTTATTGAACCTGCCTTTTCTCACTTAAGAAATGATGGACATGTCGTCCTGCTGTGGTGCAGAGGGGGTCCACTCCTGCTGCCGCTGCTGGTGGTTGACACATTACAGTGGCTCTGCCTTTAACGCAGAGAGGAGTTTCCTGAACCACAGTGATGTTCATCTAATCCTAAACCTTTATCTTCAGCTACACACAAACGAGGCGTTACGGATCACAGCAGTTAAATTATCCAGCTGCCACGTTCACCTGCCCGTCATTTACCTGCCTCTGTTGCTCTCGTTGTGGCTGCCGAGCCGAAGTTAATGTTACCAGGCTGTGCCATAATGACAACAAACCGGCCACGAACGCGCTACATTAAAAACACCGGTTAATAAGCTCTATCGACACGGGTTTGGCCACGCAGGCATCGGCGTCTCCCATACAATTGCTCTTTCATGCAGCCACCGAGGAAACGGCTGGCGAGCACTGCCCGCATAAAAAACACAAAATACCAGAAAGGCACTTTTCTACCGGAGACTGCCCCCGTTATTCGTTTCTGCCAGGTCACCACGGGCTCGTTCACATCCGTGACAACACAGCTAGTCGTTTAGCAAACCGCTGTACACCTTGCTGTGCGCGTTAGCTAAAGCAGCCCGCTAGTAGCACACAGTACGTCGTCTGTTGTGTTTACTGGGCACAGACCGAGCAGACTTACCTTATGCTCATACGCCGTTCACTGTAGATTACGTATCACACAGCTGTCCTTTCAGTCTTTCAAAACGAAAGTTGGTGTTAGTAAATTGGCTAGGTGCTAGAAGTCGCGGTGATTTCTCCCTATTTTTAATCCCCCTCGGAAGCTCCCTTTCCTCCGCCCTTTTCTTCGATTCCTTCTGTGCCCTGCCGTGTCCACTTCCGAAACACTTCCTCCGTCTGCATGACAGCCAGGTAGCCACCAGGCGGCAGTGTTGCCCTGTAGGGCCCGCCCCCAGAAACTGAAACACCGTGTGTGTGCATGGGTGTTGCATATGCATAAGTAAAATGCAGATGGGCTTTTTGTATATTATTAATAACGGATAAAGATTTGTGTGGGATCAAACCTATGAGTGGAACACGACCTTTTGCTGACTTCTGAAGTGGGAGATCACACAAAGGGTTTGGGAACCACTAAAAAATAAAAGTCCCCAAACCTTTTTTTTTTTTTTTTTGAGATGTGAACTAGTGTTATTATAGATTTACACCATTCTTAAAAGCTATAGGGGGCATTTGTCAGGGGCCCGAGTTAAGATTTTGAGAACAGTTTGGGGTCCGTGTTTCAATTAGAAACTGATGAGGAAAATAGATTTGGCATGGTACTGACAACGGCCTGCCTTTGCTTTGATGCAAATCTGAAGAAAAATCTGTTATACAGCCATTAAAAGCTCATAGGTTTAGTGACTCCTGGTCACCTCTTTTTCCCCCCTTTGAGCAGGTGCTTTTGCTTGACTCGCTCTCATTCTCATTTTCCACCTTGGAAAATACCTCCCTCGTGCTACTGACGGCAACATTTCTCTACATCTCTTGCATGTGTGATAAACAGGAAGACGTACGAACGGTTGCAGGTATTCAGATACCTAAAATCACTAGCAATAATGGAAAACAAATATAACACTTCATGAAAGTAGCTGAGTCAAGCCTTTTGGCACAACTTCAGCCTGCTTGCAAGGTGCAAGGGGGAGAGGCGAAACTCTCAAGGAGCCAAAACTCAACGGCAACATCCTGGATGAAGACCACAGACAAATGTGTTGCACAAGCAATAAAAGTTGCTCTTCATGCCACAAGTGTTGCAGACTTTTTGACCTTTAAAGACAGCTGACTAACGGACGCATTTAGTCCCCAGTGCCAGTAAACGTATGACGCAACACCTTCACATTCTTATTGTTTGAGCAAAAACTTTATTTTTATTATGAAAGTTGTTTTTTTTTCCTTGGAAGACAGACCACATAAAAAAAGGGATTATTTTAAATCATTTTATTTGAATAATTAGGAGGCCTGAGAAGTAAAAAACAAAACAACCCCCCCTCCCCAAACATTTAAACGGTACCCAACAGACAAAACACCTTTAACTGTTAAAAGTACAAACAAAATAGTTAATACTTTATGTATGACTAACACCTCAGTGCGTTATTAGTAATGCAAAGCCAACATCTATAGTGTAGTGGATCTGATTGTAACCTAACGATGATTAAGAAAGTGTAATAAGAATAAAAAATAACCAACAGAGTAACTGGAGTGCTCTGATTTTGTTTTTCGATATTTTGTTAGACTTAAAAATCTAGATTGCTTTAAAAAATATATGTTGGCATCACTACTACGAAGAAGCCATACTACTAGACATTGTGCTCATCACCAGTTCCAGATTTTTTTTTACTTTATTTTTTTAAAAAGGAGAAGGGAGGAGTGGGTGGAATTGTCAAATAGCACTGTGACATGTAATACGACCAAGACTCACATTCACCTGCACAAATCTGTGCTTCATTTCACAGTCACACACAACCTTCAACAGAACGACGAGCATAAAATTGATGTGAAGTTTTAAAAAAACCCAAAAAGTGTTTATTGTTACTCAGTCACTAGGCAGCGCATCACTCAGAGAGGTCATAGCACTGGCCACAGACATGATGCAGGCAGAGACGAGACACACAGAGCTAGGTAAAGGGTGATGGTAATTTATACATCACCCCCATCAGCTTTGACGACTTAAAATGCAGGCTGCCGTCGTTGCCGTCCTCGGTAAATGCTGAACGAATGCCTGGCTGGTGCACGAGAGGCACCGATTCACATTGAATACACTTCTCCAGCCAACCGAAAGAATAAACATCCTCCCATCGAACCCTCCATCTCGACAACGAGACCATTAAAAAGACCGATCTAGAATGAGCTTTGCCCGGAACAGTTAATACAGGGCAAGTTGTGCATGTGCAGACAGTATGGTCAGTTTTAAGGAAACAACACAAGCTCGTAATGCAGACACGAAAATGTTCAAGCGTGGCGTCAAATTTCTTCATAAAAACCAAAAAAGATTATCTTAAAGGGAGCGTGGCTATATTACACTCTCCAAAAACAGAAGTAGTAGTGGTTGATCTTGAAATCCAACTCTAAATTAAACACCTGTTTCCATTACTTTGACCATATGCTGAACACCGAAAAACAAACAAACAAAAAAAAACATGTAAACTCAGATTACAGTGAGAAAAACCACACATAAGAAAAAAAATGCCTGACATAATTTGGGCTGCTCTCAAAGAGATTATTGTACCCAGATTAATTAAAAAACAAAAAAACATTCTCTGTTCTGATGTCCACAGTAACATTTGTCTTTTTCTTCCACCGTTCTCATTTAACATCAGATAAAGCTAATACAAAGAAAGGAAACATTTGACGGGGTCGCTGACCATCAAGACGGGCTTTGTTTAACATCTCTGCATTTTCTCCTTTTGCACAGACCACAGCTTTAATTCTTCCATAGTTGCACAAACTTATTTGACGCACTGCAAATGACATACCGTCTGAATATGTCAGTTAAGACAGAGTAACCAGCATCTTTAGACAAACACAGGTAAATCGTCTCTCAGCCACCCATCCTGCGTCTCACATTTCATCCATTTCATTCACAGACCTCTTTTTGTCCCTTTGGCCAACCAGCAGTACTCAAACATCAGTTAGCCTCCACAGTAAGTCACTCTGGGATTTTCTTGCTTCACAAAGTCTCTCCTCAGCACGTAGCTCCAGCAACAGCGGACACAGATGAGTTCCACTTCCTCTCTCCTTGTGAGTCACCTTTTCTTCAGAATTTCGGCACAGCACAACTCGGTGTGGAGCCGTTGCATGAACTGGAAGTTAGCCACACACGATTAGGTAGCTGGTTAACCCCACTGCTCAGCAGTGATGGCAGCCTCAAGGGATTGCCTAATCTGGCTTGAATTACAATGTTATTATAAAAATAGAGACGTATGCACAGGCACACATATGCGCACACATACTTTAAGTCACCGTCACATTACACAGGCCTGTTTTTGGCTCCCTCATTCATTCTTCCACAGGTTTATCCACTACAACGTCTCCTTTAACAAAAACAACTGAAACTCAATGAACCGGACATAAGCCTGGAGAAGAAGAAAAACCCATTAGAAAGCCGTTAGTATGGAACGTGTCCACCCCATTATCCTTTATCAACAGCCTGAAACCTCCTCCGAGTTTAACACGCCCCACTAATAGATGGGACAGCAGTAGGCTTCCTATTAAATAGAGTATGTGCAGTGAAGGGATTGTGAAACTGGGCATAGGATTGTGTAAACATACAGTGTAAACAGCTATTAAAAAGGAAAAATTTGATGTTTGACTATTACTGAGCAAAAAAAGCACCTCACTGTTGTGTACACCACCGCCGCTCCGCTCGTGTTTTTGCAAAAACCGCAAAAGTCAGCCTGTGACATACTGACATATACGGGATGTACAGCGGAAAATGTAAATCCCCGGTTTTTCCCAACTGAAACATACCAGTAACTACACGTAATTGCACTGCAGTTCTGTCTTTCATTTTATAAAGCAGTAGAAAAACGTGGTGGCAATGTCGCTTTGTACTACTTATAACCTCGGTGCTTATGCCATTTCCAAAAATTCTGAAGCCGGGCTTGGATACGAAGATGAGGGTCAAAAATAGAAAAACTAAAATTCACATGTACTTAAAAATAAATGCAAAAAAAAAAGACATTCAAATGTAACAGAAACAAAATGTTGCTGTGCAATCATCTACTACATGGTAATACTGTGAACTGCACCGTCCCGCCCAAGAGAAAGAAAAAAAAAACAGAAAAAACAAAACACAATAAACAAAGATTTAAAATAGACTCTGTATGGCTCCAGGTAGCTTTGAGTGTCTACTCTAAACCAGAGGAGATAAAATCATGTATCACAAGTTTCTGTTGCTCTCTTTCTTTGACTCTTTCACAGTTTCGAGTCTTTAGTGTTTATGCGTATGCTTGTGTTTGGTGGACAAAGCATCGCCTTTCTGAGTGGACGTCAGGCGGCAGCGAGCAGACAGCACTGGAGGAAAAAGAGCAACTCTCATCTACCCGACCGTGAACGCGTCTTAGCTTAGATTCTGGGATTATCGTACCTCTGTGGAAAACAGACAAGACTCCTCTGATTAAAGTGAACCTCCCACTCAGCGCAGTTATACCACCGCATACTGAACAGTAATAAAAACTAGACACATTCAGGAAGTGTAGGAATTGTTTCTGCTGGAATTGATTGCGAATAAGAGCCCTTACGTTTGCAACGATGCAATCAAATACGTTTGTTTGTGTGTGTGTGTGTGTGCACATGTTAAATATAAATAACCATGTGACTTCGAGCCAATGCAAGTGATTGAAGTGACCAACAATTTAAAGTGTGAAACAAGTAAGTAAAAATAAGTCTAAAGTCCGGTGAGTTAGTCTGACAAAGTGTGTTTGTTTGTGTGATCGTGTATCCACCTGAATAAAAAGATGGAAAACTTGCTTTCAAGCATGGGGGGTGGATAGTTCACCCAGTGAAAAGGAGGTGGGAGGGACCACAAAAAAGGGGGGGTGGGGGGTCTGTCCTCCCCCCAAAAAACAACAACAACAACAAAAAAAACCAAAAACCTGTCAGTCTGTCAGCAAGGAGAAGTCAAATGGCTCCAGTGAAGGTGCTGAACAGAAGACACCGAAAGCAAACGGGAGACATGAGCAGTGGTGCAGGTCCTTGTTCAGTAGTTAATAAATCCAAAACAGTCATTTTCATCCACACGGATTCGCATTCACTGTCAAATACAAACACACACACAGGGTACTCTGGTTAAGGCAGTGGTGGCAGGTGAGGCTGCAGTGAGGCCAGGGCAAAGAATCGGAGAATCGGTGGTCAGGGTTGATGGCAGTGAAAGCTCCCATTACTGAGTCGGCACTCTTTCCCCATCGTCCTCGTCTGTCCCCTCATCCCTCTCTCCTTTGCTCAGCCGCACTTCTAATCACAAGTCACTCAAATGACATCAGATTGGCTGGCACCTGTGAAAAAAGTCAGATTTTACAAAATGCACGTGTTAATCAGCCTCGTGCATGTCTGTGTGTGCATATTCGTGTCTTCATACCTGTTGCCTATTGCTCTGACAGGCAGCACTCAGATGTTTGTACCAGAGCAAAGCATTCATTCTGTTCCCTGCCTGGTACTTGTAGGTGTTACCTAGGCAACGGAGACAAACAGAGTGAGGTGCCAGGTCTTGTAACCACCTGCTCTCTCAACAAGCTGGAAAGATGGCTAAAAGCCTCACTTGACTTCGGTCTGCCCGATAAATTCAAAGCAAAGTCATGTGAAAAAAATCTATGACAAAGTCAGATAATAATGTGCATTTACACACACAAATCAACACCTGTGTATGAACATTAAGGATGTCAAGTATGACTAATCTGCAGGGCTTAAAGTGACAGGTTATAGCAAAAACAAATAAACATTTTCCCTCCGCCCTTTAGAGATATGTACTAATCTGGATAATTTGGATGTCAACTGCTCGATTTTGCATAATGGCTTTGGAAAATTACTTCCTTCTCTTGACTATAATGAAGCTGGATGGCACTTGACTTACATGCACAAAAGATACATCTAAAAAACTCTGCAGGTAAGTGCACTCTCAGAAATGTACAAACCTTTCTGTAAGTTTGCGTTTCAGATGTTTGCGTGCATTGGTGCAAAATTTTGATCAAAATGACTGAAGAAAAATAAATTGTTACCACCTGAATTTCACAATGAGATTATGACATTTCTTATCTTAGCCTTGGATCAGTTGGCAGGACATCTTCAATATAGTTAAGCAACTGTCATTACTGTATGAGCGTTATCTGATTATTTAGATTCCTTCAAGTTAAATTTATAGTCATTCAGAGCATTACAGTCATTCAGTGCATGAAGGTGAGCAAGAATAACAGATAAAGACTCAGAAAGATAAACTAGGCCCCTCATGAAAACGACAATAAAATTGACAAAAACAAACAGTTTAACAAAACACAAACTTATTTTGGTCTGGTTTTTCGCCTTCTGTATTGTGAGCATGAAGAGATGCCAAAAATAATAACTGACAAGCTTCAGCTTCAATTTAAACCTCCTGACCCACTTTACAATTTTAATGCATCCTTTTCACACACAGACTGTTCCTTGTATTAATCATTTCCTCTTTGCTTTCTCCCTCTCACGTGTTCGAGTCTCACCGTGCTCAGAGTCGGTCAGCAAGAAGACGTCAGGGTGCTCAGGATCGTCAGCCATCATAGCCATCAGACC